AATTCCCCACAGAACTCCCAGGGCCCTGGAACACAACCCTTTATGCTGTTTTCCTTTCTTTGTCAGCCCAATGTGCACTAAAACAAAAGCCCTTTTGCTGCAGCCTCACCTGTTTTTAAGTAGGAACATGCCATAAAGGTTGGTGGAGGTATTTAATTCTCCAGTCTCAGCTCTGTTTGCCTACATAGTGACTCACCTCACATGCTTCAGATCAGCTTCTTTTGAGGAGAGGAGGTGTGATACAGGTTCCACTGCCATGCTGAAGATGAGACTCTGTTATGCTTGCAAGACAGGTCTTAATTACAAAGTGAAAATTGTTATTTTGTGTTAAAGTGCTGGGACAAGATAAATGAAAGCAGAGGAAATATTCAGTAACTGCTGAAAAGGACACACATCACCCATACACAAGGAGATGTCTCATTAATTACTTGCTTTAGTCCCCTTTGGGCTCAGAACACAGCAGCAATAGAATTACTTTTGTTAGCAGCTGTGGGCTCTGTTTTGACTGAGATACGTGTTTTCTCTTTATACCTTAATGTTTTTTGGCGTGTTTCTTTTTGATGTGGGAATTAATTGCCTACAATTTACCTAGAGCCTGTACTTAATTCACATGTCAATCATTCATGTTTCGTGATGTTTCAAAGACAGCAGCAGAAATGAGGACTACTAAGAACACAGCAATCCTTTCAACATATGAAGAGTCATTCAGGACTAGAGTTGTTAAAAGCCGGCCCAATAAGATTTGTGATATTCAGCGATGGAATGCCACATGAAAAAAGAGTACACTGAAGCAGTAGTTGTCACTGGACTGAATTCCAGAGAAAATCTCTCCTCCTAGAGACCAGCTTTTTTGTTCTGCTTTACTTGTCCAATATTTTCTACTGCAAATCTTGAAGAAATCTCAGAAAAAATGATAGAAGCTAGTGAGGGACTAAGATGTTGTAAAGCAAACAGTATTTTTTCCACAAATAAAGCATAGGTGCTTCAGAGTGACAAGGGGCCCTAACTTGTGACATCACCTCCTAAACCCAGTCAAAATGTTTGAAAGATATTGTGGTCCTAGAGACTTGTCTCAGAACTGCTTCTTGTACACGAAGTTTGTTACTCCACTAAAATCAGCTTAGCCCTAAGAATCATGCACATCCATACCTTTTGCCTGGGAGGGAGTGTCAGGAGGGAGCATGAGTAATTGCAGTGGCTCTGGATATAGGGCCCAGAATGCAGGGTTGCCTGTGCTGTCCTCTTACTCCTTCCCACCTCATTCCCAAAAATAATGGAACACGAGACAGAGTAATTTGGTCTCCTCTCCATCGTGCTTTGTCACCGCTACCCATGATCTTGGCAGTTTATATTTATCCAAGGAGAGAGGAGGCGAAACAAAAAAACAGAAGGAAAGATGGAGGAGTGGATGAGAAACTAACAATTCCTGAAACTGTAGAACCTAGCAGGCTTTGGTTTTATGGCATCATGGTGGATGGCTGCACAATGTAGAGCTGGCTTCTGTTGTTGGCAAGACTATCAGCAATTTTCCATCCAGCTGGGAAAGATTTTCTGTTAATGCACATCATGATTTTAATAGCATGTGTGTAGGTGGTGAAGAATTGAATTTTTTTAAAACTTTATAATCAAGGTGAGAGGAGGCAGGCACAGTACATGAGAGAAACATGCAGAGTCAACTCATCTATTATCCCCCAGGTCACACCGGCAGATCTTTCCCACCTCCCACCTACTGACTGGTCTTAAAGTTGAGAAATGTACCCTGCTCCATGCACTTGGCTTTTTTAATTTATTTATTGTAAAAGCTTAGCTAAAGGTGGAGAAGAAGGATCATTGAGTTTATCTGTTAATCTCAGAGGTTAAAAGTGATTGCTCACACTTTGTATCCAAAAAAAATATCTACATGTGGCCATATATATATGTAAAGTGTGCCTGTAGAAAGGAATCTGAACGGTGTTTGCTTAGTACAAGATGTGCAAAAAAGCAAAATCCAACAAGACGAGGCAATTAGTAATTTTACTGTTAATACATGTAAATGCAATATAAAACTTGAGCTTTGCACTCTGGTGAGTTGGGTTTAAAGCACAGCCTGCTTCATCTTCACAAGAAAGTTTTCACTCTCCTCTAATGACAGGGACACCAGCGCCATTGATGCTTTTTGTTGCGCTTTGTCCAGTGGCTGCTGAAAGGGGCCACCTCCCCTGCCCTGGCCATGCACTCCTGCGACTCCCCTGCATTAGCTCTAAGCTCTAGAGGTTGTGCAAAGGGAGGGCAAGCTGAGTGAACAAGCTGATCTGTCAGAAAACTTACAAAGCCAAAAAGCAAATAGTTCCAGCACATTGATCTGCCTTACATGTGACCTCACAAGGTCTGGTACAAGGGATGTAGCAGGCAAGGGAGGCAAGGGAGAGATGGCTGGTGTAATGTCAGAGTAGGTTAGGCCATGACTGACTTGTCATCATCAACACAGAGCCCAACCGAGTGGTCACACTCGACAACTTTGTGATGCTCAGAGCAGTAGTCTTGTTGTTTGGGGCTCTTTTCCTCTTTATAAAATAAAGAGAAGATTGATTGAAAATTCTTGTGGTTGGCCTGGTGCCACTCCCATAAATAGTATAAAATCAGCCCTGTTCTAAGTTGCTGGCCCACAAATGTGAATTCCACTGTACTCACCAATTGGGAAGTACAGAGATCCACTCATCACACTGACAGTCCACTGTACATCTTCAAATACAGCACAGCATATGCTGTCTCCAAGGATGGCACAGCATCCTGGTTTCTGTGCTTCTTCTTCAGCCGCATTTGGTTAGGATGCCATAAATTCTCCAACTCCTTCAATGTAGCTTTTATGTCTGAAATGTTTTGTGGTTGTTTCATAGCCTTGGCCCTAAAACTCTTATTCCCTCTGCAGGTTCCCTGAGGGTAATTTCATCCACACAGATTCAACAAGCATTACTATACTGACAAACACAGTACTGACTGGTGTCACTCTCCTGTCCAAACTAACATCTCGGCTTTCATCTGACATAATTTTAGGGCTAGCTAGCTGTCAAATTCAATTCAGTATGGCCAAAACAGAAAGCTTATTTTGACTTTTCTCCTCCTCCCCTCCCTTATGTTTTTTCCCCTCCTTCTCTATTACTCCCTCTTCTCTCCCCTGAAACATTGAACACTTATGGCCTCCTCCTAACATCAATATCTAGTTTGAATCAGCTTTCTCACACATCTATCACCCCAGTTACATTCAAGCCTTGCTGCCTCCCATTGCATATTATTCTAAAATCCACTCTGTCCTGTTCATTGACTCAACTACATCTCCCAAATGCAATCAGTTTATCAGCTCCTCTTTCTAATAAGCTGGTGAGAATAGAAATTTTACTACATTATTACCACACTAGTATCTTTCTCCTGACCAGCCAGAGCAGATTGTATGGCAAAAGAAGAAAATGTGGCCCAAAGAAGACATTTCCAAAGACATTTGTGATGCACCCATTAAAAAAAGCACAAGAGCATCATGCTTCAGGAATTCTGTATCTCTGAGTTTACGCCAGGCAAAAGCCGAGACTCAGTATGTTTTTATACTCAATGTTGTCAAAGCTTACTTAACATTAATACAATATTTTTATCTCAGCATGAGGTTGTAAATATAGTGTTCTGTATTCATAAGTGATTTTAATGTAGTATCAGAAAGACTGTGATATAGAACCTTACCTATCTAGCGGTGTTTTACATGTAATCATTCCTAGGAGTTGGAAAAACTTCAAAAGCAAGTGGAAGTCAGCTTAATTTGGCTACCTTTCCAGAGGTAAAAGACTGTCTAAATAAAGTATAATGACCCCTTTCTTCCAAGAATGATCTTCGTGAGGTAGGATTCCCCTTGAGCTCAGTGAACAGTCTTTGGGGATTTCCTTGCTGGATGAGTCTAGTGTGGAGGCTGTGTGAGCAAATGCCTTAGAGGAAGTGAGAACAGAATAGCTGCTTAAGAAGATTAATGACTGGATTCCTTAAAGCTAGCTTATGGGAAAGGTGATCTCTTATGTGTGAGCCAAAGACAATTAATTAAAATGGGTCAATTAGCCTGTCAAATACAACATGTATCCAGAGTTCAAGCTTTTATGTATTTACACCAGAAAGTGTAAAATCAAGGGAGAGGGAAGACCTTTTTGAATCCTACAGGGCAGAAGAAGAATATGAGTTGGTGAAGAGGTAGAATACTTGCCTCAGCCTCCACCAACCCCCCACTTGCGAACAGGTAAATGATGTGTTGGGTCTTGCCACTGGTGTACACCAGCAACTGCCTGCATCTGCAGCATCCTTCAGTGTAACAGAGCCAGAACAAATTATAGAGATAGAAAAACTCCCGTCCTCAATTGGACAGGGAAGAGAAAATATAATGAAAGCTCATGAGCTGACATAAGGGGTGAGGTCACTTACTGATTATTGTCATGGGCAAAGCAGTCTTCATTTGGAGAAATTGATTTAATTTATTACCAATCAAATCAGAGCAGGATAACAGGAAGTAAAACAAATCTTAAAAACACCTTCCCCCCCACTCCTCCCTCCTCCCCGGCTTAACTTTATTCCTGATTCTCTACCTCCTCCCCCCAGAAACACAAGAAGACAGGAATAGGGGTTACAGTCAGTTCATCACATGTTTTTGCTGCTGCTTTCTCCTCAGGGAGAAGTGTCCTTTCCCTGCTCCATTGGGGGGTCCATCCCACAGAAGACAGTTCTCCCAAACCTCACCAGCATGAGTCCTTCCAGAGGCAACAGTTTGTCACAAACTGCTCCAGCACAGGTAGCTTTCCATGGGGTGCAGTCCTTCAGGAACAGACTGTTCCAGTGTTGGTCTCCCACAGGGTCACAAGTCTTGCCAGCAAACTTGCTCCAGTGTGGGCTCCATTCTCCACAGGTCCACAGGTCCTGCCAGGAGCCTGCTCCAGCATGGGCTTCCCATGGGGTCACAGCCTTCTTCGGGCATCCACCTGCTCTGGTGTGGGGTCCTCCATGGGCTACAGGTGGATCTCTGCTCCCCCATGGACCTCCACGGGTTGCAAGGGGACAACCTGCCTCAGCATGTTCTTCACCTGGAGCACCTCCTCGCCTTCCTTCCTCACTGACCTTGGTGTCTGCAGGGCTGTTTCTCTCACATATTCTAACTTCTCTCTTCTCTGTCTGCAATTGCTTCTGTCCAATGACTTTTTTCCCTTCTTAAATAAGTTATCACAGAGGTGCAATGGGCTCAGCCCTGGCCAGCGGTGGGTCTGTCCTGGAGCCGGCTGGCTTTGGCTCTTTCAGCCCATGGGGGAAGCTTCTGGCAGCTTCTCAAAGAAACCACTCCTGTAGCCCCCACCCCCACTACCAAAATCTTGCCACACAAACCCAATATAACACTGAATAAAAACCATTTCTGAGGTGCAGTCAAATTCCAGCTATATAAGCAAAGAGGAAACTGTAAGGAACTAGAGTATTTTTTTCTTCTAAGTGTGGCATCAGTAGCATCAGAATATAAAACCCCAAAAACATTGAAGATGCAGAACAGATTGGATTTCAGCACGAATCTCTGGAAAGAAAAGACAAACCCACCTTGACAGAATCAGTTTTGGTGAGTCTGAACTAAATGCAGTGATGAAAATACTAAGTCAGTCAGTTATGTGATATATTTTAAAGAATAGTCTGATGAGAACTAGAAACCACCTTTGTTCTATCAATCACTTGAAATGCATTTCCTTCCAAATATGTCTAGAATCTGCACAAGCATCAGTGTATGTAAATTCAGAGATGAAAGCAATAATTCATACTGGTAGGAAAGCATAAGGCATTTCTAAGTATGAATGCCAATCATCCTCCATAGGTTATGTGGCTGAGCAATGAATAGGATGTGAACCTGATAAAAACTGAACATTTCAGAAGGCACACAATCCATAAAATGTTCAAAATGAGGGAGAACTTTGGGTATACAACTTGCCTGTGAGCACACAGAGGCAAAGCAAGGGCTGGGATGCTGTGTTCATGTTAGCCAAGAATGGAAAGTTTAGACATGTCTCCCCTTGGTTTTTCAAAAAATCCTGGGATCACAATGAAGTGGTCAGAATCTGTGCTATCTGGGGGACAAAAGGCTTTGATGAATCACTCAAACTCCTACAGCCCAGGCAGCTATGCAAACTTAAATACCAAATAAATTACTACTTGTATCTGCTATACATTTTCCCCTTCAAACTTGCCAACAGGTGAAACAAATTACTAAAATACATGACAAATGAGGGAAAGGTAGAATACTTTAGTTTAGCTGTGTGTTATTTAATAACTGCCAGATTCTTAGTGTTATCCTTTAGACCAGGATTTATAGACTTATTTACTTTACAGAGATGAGAAAATAATTCTCAAAAATATGGAAAACTGAATTCTATTAGGAAGAAACTGTCAAAATGCTCCATATAATTTAACAATTTGAACACTTTCCAAATGATGGAGCCAAAGATTAAAAGTGATTTTCCTTGTGGATAGAGATGAGCATGATGTTCATGAGTGGGCTATGCAATTACTTGCTAGTCACTCAGTAGAACAATAGACAGAATGACTTTTTAATTCTTTTCCTGGATTTGGGCAATAAAGAATGGTTTTATGACACAATTGGGATAAAAGAGCACATCCATCTGGTGTATCCCGCCTAGAAGGCAGTGGGTCTGCCTGAGAGAGACTTACATTTGCAACATGGGACGTGGTCTCTACCAGGTATTTCAGAAAACTCCTCCTGCACCTTGTTGGGAAACTCATTTTGTTCAATGATCATCATGCAAAACTTGAGATGTCGGACAGCTGTGATTAATTCTCCACTGACAAAGGCATCAAACCTCTATAAAGGACAGGAGTGGAAGTCAGTGACAGCTATTTTGGACTAGTTTGAGTCAATGCGAAGACTGAACAAATATGCCAGGTTTAAAAGATGATTCTAGTAGAAATAAAATGCAAGCGACATTTGGAAAAAATAATTCTGATGTTTCCAAAGCAAACATTTCCTATTTTAATTTACATTTAGATATTTATTTTAGTATATTTATATTATATATTAACAGGTATATTAACATTGTTTTGGGCTTCTGAACTGGAAAACAAATTATTCCAGGCACTCTAAATACTGTTTATACACTGAAGACTTACGCCCAAATCTGGCCTGAGATGGATAGTAGGTGTTCCCACTTCCTTCGGGCTTGAAGAAATGGCCATTTATAGGATTACACACACACAAATTGCAAAGGGACAGACTTTATGTTCAGCATTGTGTTGCAGATCAGCATGGCCCTAAATTCTTAGCTGGAAAAGCACTCTGCAGATATCCACTACCTGAAGGATGGAGATGGGACAGCAAGGATTCAAAGCCCCTAAGACAACTCAATCCAATCCAATACAGGCACTACATATCAAATTCCTATTTGATATATCACATTGGCATAAAGAAAATCCCTGACTGAGAGACAGAACAAGGGCTGAAGAATAATACAGCTGTCATTCCTGGCATGAAGAAACATTTTTTAAACTTCTAGGTCTGATTGGATTTTTACTGCTGACATTTCTGCCAGACTTCCTTTCAACAAAGCATCGAGACTAGGATGGAATATTTCATAGCATACTCGCAGAGGAGACAGAATGGTCTCATCTGCCTTCACTTTACTCTTAAATTAAGATTAAAGGGGGGAAAAGGAACAATGGAGGGAGGGGGAAAGGAAGGCATAAGAGCCATTGCAGTGATCAAATTCACCCACAGACTAGCACAGCCTGACACAATTCTTAGACAGCTGATTAGGTGGTTTTCAGTCTTTCTGCGATGAGGGATCTGGCTGTGGTCAGGATGTGGCCCTGATTTGGGAGATGGTTTGTGGGGGATGGTTCCATAGCATATTAGCGAGATTTTCTTCATAGACTTCATAAGAGGGTTGAAAGTCAGACTGCAGGCAGCATTTGTTCCCTGGAGTCTTCTGATGAGGCTGTTTATTATGAAGTATTGCTTAGTCGAGAAGAAACAAGTGTATTGGTCTTGCAGGTCAACAGTAATGTTTTGCAGAACGTATCAGTTGTTAAAAATGAAAGTTGCAGACATAAAACTGAATGCTCTTCATGACAGAAGGATTGAAATACTGGAATGTGTGATCCATTTTCCCTTTGCTCTTCTTTTCTCTCTCTGCTTTAATCTTTCCAACTATTGTTTTATGCAAATATCTACACTATTTAAGGCCATCTATATGAAAGGCCAGTCACCTGCTTTTGGACCAAGGTTATAACAGGTCTAGACTTTTCTATGAGGATTTTTTTGCACAGAGGCCAAGGATGTGATATCTGATATTTTGTGAACTGACACATTATATTTTTGGTTCCTATGATTCATCAAACTACTTTGAGTGAATGGACCTTTTTACCCTATAATTTAAACTGAAGGATATTGAAGGGCAACTGAAATTTTCCCTAGCTAAAAAGAAGTCTCTTTTCTGTGAGTATTAGAAGAAACCTGCTCAAAAATGCAAACTGTGCTGATGGCTTTTCTATAGAGCAAGTGCAGACTCATTAAATGTATTTTTTTTTCTTTCTAACTCCTTATGCTCCTATTTTACAGTCTCTTGTAAGTGGAATATGAATTCAAAGATTATGTTTCAAACTTGCAAGGCTGTGTGGGTTTGAAAGCAACCGAGACAAGTATCCCAGTCCTAACTGAGACCTTTGTTAGTACAGCATCTAGTAAAACAAGCTAACAATTTGGAATACATTGGCTGTCACTTCAAATGTCAGTGACAATTTGCAAAACATTCAGAGCAATAATGGGAAAAGGCACAAAATGTCAAATTTGTAGCAAAGCTGACAACAAAAAGAATATTCACTGTGAATTACAGTCTTCCTGACTTCCTAAAGCTCCTACTGATTCTGCTTTAGTAAAGGATATTCTTCTCTCAAGGGATTTAGATACAGTAGATTGTCTAACATGCTTAACTGATGCTTTAAATTCTTTATCTGAAAGCTTATCCTTGATGACTTGGAAATCTGTGGTCTCTTGCTAATGTTTTTGGGAGGGTAATTGGTCAGTTTGTGATCTGGCTATATATTACCTGGGTAGGTACACATTTGGTCAAGGACCCCAGCATTTCTTTCTACTGGCTATCCCATTTTCACAGATGCTTTTTTTTTGTAAAGCTGTTCTGAGAACTAATAACAACTGTCTTTGGAAAGGCATTGGCTCCTGCTGTTTTGCATCTACTAGAGATGAAAATGTTCAGAATGGAAAATATTAACAAAAAGTTCAGAAAAGGTATATATTGATCAAAAGTCAGACATATGCTTGATGGAAATTAAAGCTTCAGAGCAGAAGAATAACAAGTCTGCTTTCTGACAATCTGTGCCACTTACTAAAACTATTTTAATGAACCGTTGCAGCTTTAGATACATCGAATGTGGACAGGCTGGATTGCAAACCTGGGTCATTAGAAGTTCAAATAGCCTGGCTCACAGCAGGACCTGGGAAAGCCAGACAGTTTTGTCTAATCCTCGGTGAAGGAGTAAGAGGGGAAAGAGGTAGCTAAGCTTTGTGACAGACAGGGATCTATAAAACGAAGTATTAAGAAAAGGGATTAAGAGCAAGAACTAGAAAACTGTGCATAGAATACAATGCAAATTGGATGCAGAGAGAATACCAAAAAGTCAGTCTGAGAACTACAATAAAGGCTGATAAGAAAACTGTGGCGACACGGTACGTGGCATATATTTACTACCTTACTAGTTACTAAGTCTCTCAGACCAGTTTTGTGTCCCAGGCAAGGCCCCACATTGTCATGACTTGAACCCAAGTTATTTTGATTTGACATCCCAGAGTTCTACATACTTGCTACAGTAAAGATACAGAAGATGACTGCTGTGCAGATAGTAATCACTGAGGCTTTAGCTCCTCCATAGCTTCTGTTACAGCTTGTAACCCACAATCTGTTAGAAAAAGACCCCTGCTTCCAGAGCAACCAAATCTAGGTTGAGTCCCACCTTAGCCTTGGGAGAACCCTCTGCAAAAAAATGCATTCCTTTAATGCAGCAGGACAGTCTGTACAGACTAGTCCAAATTCTTTGCCCCAACTGCTGTTTGGGTGGCTTGTGACAGTTCTTCACTGAGATAGGCAGCCCTTCCTGGATAGGGCACATATTTGTAATATAACTCAATAGGCCACCACTGCGATGAATTTATACTGTATGTCTGAGCCAAAGCAGATTTAACAAAAGCCAGGCCACCCTCATTGCTCTGTCCAGGCCTATAGCTCTGCCTTTCTTTGCACTGGCTCTGGGGCTTGTCTGACCCTGTGCAGAGTTAATCCAGCTCATTAACCCAAAATAAAACTATTGACTTTCCTAGCAAATTAATGCATTGCTGAAGGGACAAAAAACCCCCAAGGGCTCAACTGCATGCAGGACTTTCCTTTTTAACACCAATGAGAACAGATCACCCAAGCTGAAACAGATAACTCTACTTTACACCTGTACTTGGCCTACCGTGCAAAATGGAGTTCTTATTACAAAATCACATTCTCAGTTTTGTACAGACACATCCTACAGCTTCTTCATTAAGAAATCTGGTCTCTGAGCATGCATAAAAGATCTAATTTTTATGGTAAATATTTCTACCCTGTACTTGTGAAGAGAAAAAAAAGGATTATGTATTAATATTACATGAGGATGAGGAATTAGCTTTTTATCCATTGACACCTATGTAGGATGAAAATGGCACTGCTGTTTTTCAATCAGCAGTCTCTGTGGCACCTGAGTACTGAAAGATCCTAACAGAATAGGAGGCTTCCAGCCTTCTAATGTTATTTTTTAACAGCTCTCTTTACAGCTAATAATTCAAAGGGCCAAAGGAAACCTCATGTTATTCCAAGAATCAAACAGAATGACCAAGGTAATAATAGACCTGGCATTCTAGGTAATCCTAGACAATACAGTGATGTTATGTCAGTTAAAGCAGTCACGCTATGTGTGATTGAATCAATAAGGGGTTAAAGGTAGGAATATAACGAAAGCAAACCTGCATGGCTTTGTGGAAACAAGTCTTGACAAGCAGGCCTGACTTCAATTTTTTATGAGATTACAGGTTTGTTTGATCAAGGTAACCACATGGATGTGATAGACTTGGACCTTCCTAATGAATCTGATTTAGTAGTGCTTGACATTTTGATTAAAACATTAGCATTATATAGCCTTAATAAAACACATTAAATAGATTAAGATCTGGCTAATTGATAGAGTTCAGCAAGCTGTTCTAACCAGATACTCAGCACTGACTGGGGATATTTTTAGTGGGGCTCTGCAGGCAGGAACACTATGCTTGCTGCCATTCAATGTTCTGGAATTACACAGAAACATGGGTAATATTGGCAAATGTCCCGCAGTGTAATGAGGAATGGGTAGCTATGGAAAGTCACAGTTTTGCCTGCATTGGCATAAATGCGTTTCTGGTATCTGATTACATACTTTTTCTTCCGTTCTGTATAAGCACAGAGGTTCTCTTGCAGGGTATAGTTGCAAGGCTGTGGTCTAGTCAACCGCTGATGGGTATACAGTGATTTCTCTCAAGGGTCATTGATTTTAACTACTAATTCATGTATTGTCGAAGGGAGTTGTATGAATCATTTTAAAAGCATGAGTTGTGAAACCACCCCTTATCGCACACTTCTGCATGTCTTTTTTTTTCCTAAACTACCAAGAATATAACCTGAGGTTTAAATATGTTTGAAGCTTTAAAAAGTCAGGAAATTCTAGTCCATGGGCTGAAGAAGGATTGCTATAAAAAAAATAAACCAAGAAACCCAGATGAGGTAAGCAAAAAAAACCCAAAGAGAACTAAACAACTTCAATGATCAGTCATGTACAAAACATATACAATCTCTACTACTATCACTTTCTTGTCAGCTGATCTATGCACATCTTTCTCATTCTTCATTTTCTTGGTCAGTTCTTGAATCAGATTGAGGTTAGATAACACTGAATTAATATTGCTCTCCTTTGCTAGATTTGATTCTGACCAGTCTTGTTATATTGCTACACGTAATCACAAGCTTACTTAAGCAAAAATCAAAATGAGAATTCATATGAATTTTTATGGTGTAGAATGTTAAAGATGCTCTTTCTCAGCAAAATCTTTGTAGCAAACTGTTGTCCTTTTAACATTTGGTTTGGTTTCTGTTTGACCTTGCAGAACAAGATGACTGATAAATATAAAAGATGCTATCCAGAAGAATATATTTTCCTCTTACTATCTAAAATACAGATTCAGATACAGATTTTCCACAATGCATTAGGATGTCTTATTTAACTTGGTTTATATCAATTTAACATCTAAAATCTTTTCACATTTTCATAATTTTACAACTTGTATTAAAACTCTTGGTGGTAAAACTATGCAATCTCAGAAGCCCCCTATGAAACACCAATACCATCTAAACCAGCACAAGCCAGCAAGTGGATGCCTCATCTATCTACTGCTTGTTTCTCCACTAAAAAAAAAGAAAAGCAAATTTTTTGTACTGTGTCAAAATCGAATTGGTCCTTTTTCTTTTTTTTTCCTGGTTCTTTTTTTTGTTATACATCGAAACTCCTCCCCAGCCAAGTCATTCAATGGGGCTGCTTTCTGTGCCTGTCCTGTCCTGTACCACTCAGCACCACAACTAATTTCCATCATTCTCTCTCTGCTTCTGGATTTGTGTCCAGCTTAGAGCAAAATTTTCAAAAGGGACCTGCATGCATTACATGTACCAGTAGTGAGCCAAAATATTTTCCTCAGTTGGTATTTTTAAACAGGACTGATTATGTTTTGTTGGCCAGTATGGTTTTGTTGTTTTGGGTCTTTTTCCTACAAGTCAGTTTTCCTAACAGCACATTGGCAGTATGAGGATCCTTGCTTGCCCTTTTGGATACTCTGAGGTAATATCTAATCATCAATACTCAGCTCTTCATTTTGATTCTCTGAAAGACAAACGTTGGTATTCAAAAAACATATGCATCTTCTTCTACTTCCAAAGGCTTTTTATCATTCTTCTAATTTTCATCCTTCCCTTTCTTCTCTTAAAACGGTCTTATCTCTGTCCTCCCTAGAACTGTGGAACCATTATATCAGATTTTCTTCTTCTAGTACCCCCTGACTCCCAGTGTCTTCTCTTTTTTGCAAGTCTGTGACATTTTCTTCATTCTAATTATTTAATTTTTAACCTTATCTTTCCCTTTCCTATTTACAATTTGTGCTGTTATCTTTCTTTTGGGTTTTGTTAGCCTTCTTTTTTCACTTGCATTGCCTGTGGTGAACATAATATTAATAGGACATGACATTCTTGAAATAGCTTCAACTGGGTTTTGACTTTTCCTTATTCTCAAAAACTCTGTACTTACATCTTTACAGATTTGCTTACTCAGTTCCATCCTCTTTTTCATTTTTGTCTCCTTGCCATAGTCCTCATATATTTTGTTTCCCATACAAAGATATGCTCCTTTTTTTTTTTCTGGCTGCAGAAACCTATCAACCTTTCCAGTTTCATCAGCACTGTATCCTTTATTTTTCCTAAGGGCAAAAGTGAAGCTACAGTTATTCTTTGAACTTCACTGCAATCTTTTTATCGTTCAGATGGGGAGTACCTGTGAACACACAGGGATGAACAAAAGTGAAAACAAAAAATACATGGATCTCAGTGTAAGAAACCAAAGTAAACACTATTACCTTGCTTCACAGAACTGTAAGATTTACAAAAAAACAATTAGGTGTTAGAGTGGGTATCAGAACTCTCCTAAGCACCCCTGAAACATCTGCAAAATGGGGTGATCAATGTGTGCACCTCAAGTGTGACCAACGTGCAACACTTTGGCGGGTTGTTATTTATTCCTGTACAGAACAAGTTTGTTCGTTAAACCATTTTAGTCAGTTCCCGGCTTCCAACCACGTTGACAGCGCTGTGCCATGAGTCACTTTTAATAGCTGCCTCATTTGCTCCCGACCTGAATAACGTTTTCATAGAGGTTTGTGTACCGTGTAACATCACCTGTGCTGGACCGCGCTTCGGAGGCCCGAGAGCCGTCCCCCGCAACTTCCATGGCTTTGGAGCGAGCCCTGGAGAACCTCCGAACCACGAGGCGCCCGGAGGGGCAGCCCTGGGTCACTGTATTCCTCTGGGGAATGAAAAGGGGATTAGCCCCCGAGGAGGCCGGTGGTATCAGTATCCGGGCTGAGCACCGACCCGCACAGACCGCTCTGTGCCAGGCGGGAAATGGAGCTCCCTGAGCGACGGGGGAGCTCCGCCACCACCGGGACCGTCACCTCCCGTGACATCTTCACAGAACCACAGAACATCCTGAGCTGGAAGGAACCCTCAAGGATCACCGAGTCCAACCCTTAGCCCTGCACAGGGCAGCCCCAAGAATGTGCCTGAGAGCGTTGTCCAAACGCTACTTGAACCGTCAAACTTGGTGCTGTGACCACTTCCCTGAGGAGCCCGTTACAGTGTCCAACCACGCTCTGGGTGAAGAACCTTTTCTTCATATCCAACCTAAAACTTCCGTGGCACAGCTTCATGACTAAGTTTGGGTCGATTCGCCCTCCCGTACGCAGCTCAGGCTGCGAAACCAACCCGGACCCCCCATGGCCCCGCCAGCCCCGCTCCCCCCGGCGCTGTTCCCCACAGCGACCGCCGCCGGTCCCGCCGCAGTGGGGCGGGGCCTCACCTGACCCCACCCCCGTGCCTCACGGCCCCGCCCACCCCGCTGGATGGGGCGGGGCGTTGCGGAGCAAACTCGAGATGCGGCCTTTTCCATTGGCGGAAGTAGGTGCCCATCCTCACAGCGTGCCAATCAGCTGCCACGGATCGCAGAGGCCGCCAGACAGCGCTTGCCCCCTACCTGGAGCCACGGGCCGCCGAGGCTCTGGGCACAGTCCCCGCCCCTTCTCCCCTCTCTACCAATCTCGTCCGCCCAACCCGAACTCAGCAGCCAATCGAAACCTGAGCTGGTGCTGTCAATCACTGGCGTTTCCCCGCCCTTCCCCGCCCCCGCTCCCCCCGCATCCCGGAGCCGGGAGCGAAGCGGAGGGGAGGGGGGCCTCCGCTGGCTGCGCGCTGGTGCGGCGGGCGGGGCGTGAGGACGGGGGAGGGAGGGAGGGAAGAGGAGGAGGAGCTGCGGCTGACGCCGGCGGAGATTTCAGTACCTCGGAGAACGGCTGCGAGCGAGCCGGGCGGGCGGGAGCCGCCGCCGCCACGGCAGCCGCCCTCCGCTCCCTTGCCCCACTCTGCTCCGCATCCGCCCCTCCCCGCCACGGGTCCCCCCGGAGCGGCCCCGGGGGGAGCACGACAGCGGCACAGGCTCGGTGATCGGGACGGGCAGAGGGTCCGTCCCCGCAGGGACGGGACGGGTGATCGGCCCGGGACGGCCGGGCTGGTGTAGGAGATCGCTCGTTGCCATCGCTCGGTCCTCACGGAGCGGCGGCGGGGGCGGCGAGGAAAGCGAGGGGGCTCTCTGCCCACATCCCGCACCCCACATCCCGCCGCGGGGCGGCCGCCCACCCCCCGGCCCGGCGCCCGAGGGGAGAGAGGAGCACTGAGGGCGGCAGCGGCTCCCGGCGTTTGCTGGGGTGGGCAGGGAAGCAGAGAGCGGGAGCCGCGGCAGCGTCTGGGAAGCGGGGATCCGCTTCTCCGAAACCCTGGGGGCGAAGGTTACCCCGGCTGAAAGGGGTCTTGAGGTGAAGGGGAGATTGAATGTAGACGAATTTTGGCAGTTTTGTTGAAATAATCAAGTGCCGAGGGCAAATTTTAGGCAGATAAGATAGAGGGATGGATCCCGCTGTTTTGGATGCCGGCTTGAATTTTTTATTTACTTTTCTGTTTTGACCACTGCTAAATGTGGATTTTGTGAGAGAACCCGATGGCGCTTGTTCCATTATTCCTTGTTTGAACGTAAATCTTAGTCCTACTGCTTGTGGATTTTTTTTTATTTATTTTTTAAAAGGACCTTTCCAAGTAGCTTTCGCGTCTGACAAAATGAAGCCTTTGTATTTTTCAATCAATTATACCTGATATTGACGTCCTGTTTGGTACAAGAGACTTAAAGTGCTGCCTCACTCAGAGGACCATTAAAGACTTTCCCGGTCGCTACATGTAGCTGAATGTGTTACGACACATCCTTTCTCCCCCCCAAAATCTCCCGAAAGATTTTTCCAAAATGAAGAAATTTAATTTTCGCAAAGTTTTGGATGGTTTAACTGCCTCATCCCCCGGTGGAAGCAGTGGTGGTGGCAGTGGCAGTGGAAGTGGGGCTGGTGGTGGCTCCGTGCACCCAGGAGGAACTGCAGGAGCTGCAGGGACACCCAGAGAGGAGATCCAGGAGACGCTCACTTCAGATTATTTTCAGATTTGTAAGGTAAGGGCTGTATTTTTATTTTCTATGGAAATAATAAAAGCTGCGTTGAGTTGGGCGGGGGGGGGGGGGGCGGGACGACGACGACACAGGAGGGCAGTAATCTGATACCAGTAAGCCTTTTACTTGAGAACTGCAGTGGTTGTATAAGGACTTTGGGATGAAAAGACAGATCTAGTGGATGCTTTTTTTCTTCCTGCTGCAGAGTTGGGGTGGTCAGTAAATTCATGGAAATCTTGATTTCTGCATTCAAGGCCAAATCCTAAGTTCACACTTGGATCCCAAACTACTGACAAGATTGTGGGCAGGAAAGCAAATCAATTGGTGCTAGTACAGATAAAATAAGTGATTAGAAATTTTAAATTGTATATATCTACTTCCCCTCCTCACTCTTCTCATCCTCCGTGCCTTTTTTTTTTTAAGACAAAGGCACAAGCTAGAAATAAAAGACAGTGCACTGATTACTGAACATAAGACTTCAACTATTTGTGAGGAACTGCATGTACTTTCAGGATGGCTGTTTATCGTTAGTACTAAAGATTATAATTGCATGACAGTAAACTTAGTGGGACAGCATGAGTACCACAAGTTGCCAAATTTGTTTGGAATTGGTTTTCATGTTTTGGTCAGGTCCTTAAGTGAGAATTTTCTTTGAGTAGAAAGCGTAAGATATCTCTGTGTGTTTTGTTTTGTATCTATCTTCTGCAACAGAGCTTTCAGTGGTGCTCTTAAATGCACCAGTAAACCAGTACAAACTATTTGGTACTTCTGACTAACTCTGAAATATGAAAATCACATATTTGTAATGAAGAGCAAAAACAAAAGGAGATGATATATTATGGTCCTCTGCTGTTATTTTTAACTTCTATGTGAATTCTGTTGGCTTTACTACAAGTTTTGTTTGCTTATTTGTTTTGATTAGAAGCTTCAAAACCAGAATTTTTAAGTAGTGCAATGGACATTATTAGGAGTAAATGGACTTCATCTATTAAGTATACTTTCCTTTTATTAACCAGATACCACTTGATTTGAAATTTAGGTTATGGTCAACTCCCAGCACATTCTCATTTCTTTTTTGTGTTTTGGGAAGAAGAAAGCAATAGAAACAACCAAGACAAGCTGCAAGTTTGTGTGCAGAGCTAGTCCTTGGGAAACACACAGCTTCTCTCATCTAAGACACCATGTTTCTAATTCTGTTTGGCTTCCAGCTACAGCTAGTGTCAAAACTGCTACAGAGTTCAAGGGAAGAAGGATGAGCCCCTATGACTTAAAGACTCAGAGACTTCTGAAATAGGTTTTACATAATTCAATTTTTTTAGATACATAGTTTTTTATAGTTTTTTGCCATCCTGAAACAAAACAGGTTCAGGCCTATTAACTCAAGTTATTCTATAGTTTAACGGAGCGTCAGTAATGAGTGCATACCTGCTTCCCAGGGTTGAATTGGACTCCTTTTGCTTATGGACAATAATAATTTAGCATTTTGTGAAACTCCAGGTATTCAGTACAGTGATTTCCCATTTTTGTCACTTAAGTAAAAAGATAATGCAAACAACCAAGATACATTAAAATATTATTAGAGGATCTGACATTCTAAGACTTCTAAGTAAGGGTAAAGTCAACATGGTTCTTCATGTTTAAGTCATTCAATAGGGCTGAAGATCTATATTTAGTATGATATATTTTTATTTTGTATGACATTTGCAAAAATAAAAAACATAAGATGAATTGAAATTATTTTTTGCCTAATCTCCATTATTTCTCTTCTTTGGTTTGATATTACCCGAAGACAGTTAGTGTTATATTCTAATAGATCTACCTGGAAATAAATCTGGTAGATCTACTTGGAAATAGATCTACTTAGTGTATAGGAATATGTCATTTGAAGAAGATTTCAGTAGGCTATATTTGCCTGCCTAAGCTCTCAGGCTGAAATGTTCTCAACAAAGTAAATATTTGTACAGGAAACCTTTTGGTTGTTTGCAGCAGCTCTTGCTTATGAATGCATGCTACTGCAGAAGTCTATTGTATACGAAATACCAGCTTTGCTTTTTTTTAAGATACAAAGGTGTGCCAAAAGCAAACTTCCAAAATACGAGGTGATTATGTGCTCATAAAACACTGCAGTGTGTATTCAGCAGGCTCTACTCAATCAGCTCTGTTGCAGTTTAGTAACCTTATGAGGATGTTTGAATGAACCCACAAAACCTCGCAGGCCCCGATCCTGCGTTATGCACTGTGCAAGTGCTCTGGAGGTAGTGGGACCTGACGCAGGCGCAGCTTTCACCCTCCCTGCTTCAGGGTGCAGGATCCAAGCCATAATTTGTATTGCAATCACTTCAAATTAAATTAAAAACACAACAAGGCACGCATAATCTGAATTCTGTCTTCCCCAATCTTTTGTTGTATAGAACTTCTGATATTTCAATTGTGTATTTTCATGTTCAGTTACATAAGTTATACAGGCTGCATATTTAAGGATCCATGATCTGTGATCCTGCTGCACACAGAACTGAGTAAAGCTAATGGCAGTTTTGGTTTGTTATGATCTGCAGGATCAAGGCATGTGAGCTAGCAGCCTAAGTAGCACCTCAAACTAGTTTTTCTTTCTTTTCTGATTACAAAAATCTTCATTTTAATGTGAAACATAAAAGCTGACTCATACTTAAGAATTAAAGGGCCTTACCCTGCAGTTTTTATGTAAATAAATTTCCTTTCTGAAGTTTGTGGGAGGTCTGCTTGACTGAAAGCACAGATGCAATCCTCTACCAGAAGACTTTCACTGGTAATGCACCTGACTTCATTTGTAACACACCTGAAAGCCATCTCTCCATTTTGCAACATTTTTAGGGTGCTTATTACCACAGTGTCTTCTTGAGATACGGGTTAGAACTTAATAGAAGTAAACTGAATATTTCATTTTACACTGAGATGTTCACAATGAGTTACTTTTGGCATTTATATTTAACACATTAATGTAATCTTCTATATTGAAAGAATGGAATATTTTTGAAACTATTACATATGAAATAGCTATGGCCTGTGTTAAGCATAATAAATTTAAATGTTGGTAGCTCTACTAATGAATTAATGGCACCATTTAAAAAGTATTCAAGCAATGTGAAATTTTGTCATATCTATTTTGTGACAACAGGAAGCTGGGGTACAGTTTGGTTTATTGAGGGGCTGCTCTTGGAATTTGAATATCCAAGTGGAAATCATGAAAGTATCAATTATAATTCACATTAATTGAATATGTGAGATAACAGCAGCATCTGAAATTTAGACGTGATCTAGTAGAATATACTAGTAAAGTCTGTGTTAATTTTAATTGAGATAGACCTAATATCCTTGGGTTTGCTTCTTTCTATTTTCTCTCTGTATAGGTGTTGGGTTTTTTTCTGGCAAGGATTTTTTAGGCTCAACTGTGTTTGTCCAGAGCATTTAGAAACTAAAATACAGCACTGGGGAGAGATCTGCTATTAATACAGGAAGTGAGAAGATCACGGTTAGGATGCTTTAAATCATTTGAGTAGAACTTTGAGCAGAGGGAACCTAAAAGGAGAAAACAGTGATTTTATTACTTTTGCAGAAGGTTGTTTGTTAGGGGATGACGCAGCTGAGAAAAAAGAAATAAGAATGAAGTTGTACATTTTTTGTACATAGAGCACTTATTCTTCATGAAAATAAGTCCCCTGTATAGAACTACTTGACCTTTTATTGAAGAACAATCATAGGGTAGAATTTGTAGAGCATGAGGTTAATAACTTTATGCAGAAAATGTTTGAAATCAAGACCCCAGTTAAAAGCACAATAACAGTTGCACTTTACTAGACATACAATTAATCTGCTCCAGTATGTTTTCTTTAGCTGTAGGCAGCAACTAGATACCCTCGAAGAGGTTCAGGAACTGCCAATTTAGTCTTCTTCTCAAAGAATTACTTCCCAAATGCTGATGGTTATGGACTGCTTTAAACCCCAAAGCATGAGATAGCTATTCTTTTCCAAACTGGCCTTCATGTTATTACTGGGTAATCTTGCAATCTAATAAGCATCCCTTTGTATCTTGCTGCATTATTGATAGTATAGTCATAGTTTCAGTATGCACATTACCCAGTCTTTATGTA